ACGGCCACCCCTCTCCCGTTCCCACCTCCCGCCCCAGCAGCCCGCCTGCCCGCCCGCCGGGCTGTCACCGTCTCATCTGCATAGGCGCCCGCCCATTGGGCCGCCCACCCGCGCCTTATCTACATGGACACGCCCCCAGCGACACAGCAACCGCCGCCTATTCGCGCGTTCGCTGCCCTACGAAGATGTTCGGCTGTGCCCCCGCACCGCCCAACACGACGCATGCTCGAAACTACCTACTCACTCCGCTTTAGGGCCGTCTCGCCACGCCCCACCCCCGTGCGCCGGCTTTGGGGCCCTGGCAACGCCCCCTACGCGTCACAATGAAAGAAGTGGGTTATTGCTCCAATACCATTGGTCCATACCTCCCGGGTCCGGCAGCTGGTTCCGCCCCGCTGCGGGCAAACTCTGGCTACCATTGGACTGTCCGGGAGAGAAGGGACGGGTGGTCTATAAATAGAGAATGGGTCCACGTGACAGTTTGGCAACTGCTCCCACCTCCCCTCCCAATCCTTTAGCTTCTGTGGCTGTGCAGAGGGAGGGTAGGATTAGAGGGTGGAGTCCTGATCGCCCCTCCTCTTGCAGGAAGCCTTCCCAGAGCCTCAGCTGTAAAGCAACACACATCTTCGGATAAAAGTGTTCTTCTAAAGCCAGCTCCACCGGCATGAGACTTGCTTAGAAGGACCCCCCCACACACACACTTGGTTTAATGTTCTGCAATTGCTGTCTTGAAATTCTTATCTTTTGAACAAGGAATCCGCACATTTTCATTTTGCATTGGGCAGGCAGATTACGTTAGGCAGTCTTGCTTTTGAGAGGCTTCTATCAGTTGTATCCCAAATTCTGGAATTCAAAGCCCCTTTATGGGTAGATTCTACGATCTGACCAGAACAGAATCTAAGCTGCTTTTGTCTCCCAGGTGCTGTAAGGCTGTGCGCTCCACCAGTCTTCGGCTCCAGGGCCCTTTGTCCTGTGCTCTGAAAGGCTTTGTGCTCAGCCTTCTGGGACGCTCTGTTCCCCCGCGTCTTGTGGTCCTCGGCTTCCGAGCCGGACAGCTGTTTCCAGGCTTGCTCCACCGTCAGGGCCAGCGCCCCCTCAGGCGGCCAGCTTGTGTCACTACGCGTCGCCTCCCTGCAACCTTCAGGATCCAGCTCCAATGCGTACGCCCATTTCTGAGACAGAAAAAGCCAGGGCCCAGAAAGTCATATGAAAACGGCCCTCTTTTGTGGTGGGAGTGGGGTGGGGTAAAAGGCCGTGGTACCTAGAGAGCCAAAGACTCACCCAGACCGCCTGGCTTGTGACTGCTCAAGGGTCACGGCGTTGGCACTTTTCAGCTGTGTAAACGTACTTAGCCTTTTCATCTGTACCTCACAGGTTTTCCCTCCTGAAGGTACTTGTCAAGTACTTGCTGCAGTGTCTTCCATGGATGAAGAGCCACAGAAGGGTTTGACAGATACGTTGAGAAACCCAAGTGAACCCAAGGAGAAAAAGAGTTGGAAGTTCATAGAGACAAACTTTATTCACTCATCTTCTTACTGCCTTAATGTTCCAGCAGCTGGGAATGGATGGTAGGGTTCTGCAGAGCTGGCAGCAAGATTTTCTAAGTGGTCGGTGTCTGGGTGAAGTCAGAATTGGTTTTCACCCCTCCCACTTGAATGATTTGCTGAGTACAATGTTCAGTGTGGAGCTGATTCAGGATGAGAAAAAGAGAACAAGGGAATAAAACCAAGATCCGAAGTCAGAGGGGAGCCAGAGGAGGGAGTCCGAAAAGGAGGGGAAGAGACACCTTGGTTGGTGGAGTCTGAAGAGCTTAGCAGTTCTTCGGATTTCCTTTTTGCCTTCTAGGTGTTTTGTATTGATGATGGTGGTGCTGCTGCTGCTGCTGCCGCTGCCGCTGAAAGATTTCCAGGTGTAAAGATGCAGCTCTTGCTGCCAACCGTGGCGCAGACTCGCCCTGCAAGCTCCATGCCCAGTTTCACCAGCTAACTGGGAAGGACTGGCTCGCCGTGTCCCCTGATGTTCTCAGCCACGGTGGTCACCTCTCAGAGGTGTGACTCACAAAAGATGTAGGTGTCAAGGTAGTGCTTTCGTTTTGGTTTGGTTTTTGGTGCTGGGCATTGAACCCAGAGCCTCCTACATGCTAAACAAATGTCCCTGAGCCTTTTCCCCTGGGCCACATGCCTTTTTTTTTTTTAGGCGATGGAGATAGAACCCAGGGCCTCACACATGCTGGTCAAACATGCCACCACAGCTCTACACCTCTAGCCTCAGAGATTTTGGGGGGTATGCTGGACAACAGTGCCTTAGATACGAACATCGCCCAAACTTGACCAGAAGCTTACTTAAATGTACTTAATTTAAGGTATCTCCAGATCTTATCAGAGTAGGTAAAACATCCAACTGACGTTTGAAGTGAGGGACCTCAAATTATGAGATTTTGATTCTTCTAAAGCAGTGTGTCAAGTGGGAGGTGGAGTAGACGGGGAAGTAAATCAAGGTCTGGCTTTGGCATCATGTGGCCTTCTCTCTGTGTCCTCCACGTGACCACTTTCTTACAGGCACCGAGGCGTGTTATGTTAGGGGCCCATCCTCCTCCAGGGTGACCTCACCTCAACAGATCAGCTCTGCAATGACCCTGCTTCCAAAAGAGGTCACAACCTGAGGTCCGGGAACTAGGACTTCAACATATCTTTTGGGAAGGGGGGAAAATTGTACTCATGAGAGTCCACAATCTGCCTGAGCCGCCTTTCAGTCTTGAAGAAAGGAAAGTTAATAATGGTGTAAATGCATTCTGTGGATATGTACCTTCAAGGACAAGTTCATGAGCCAGACATGATGGCACACACCTGGAATCCCAACACCTGGGGAGGCTGAGGCAGGACGATAGCAAATTCAAGTCCAGGATGGGCAACTTAGTGAGAATTTGACTAAAACAAAAAAAACAAAAAACCACAGATCTGGTGATGTAGTTTAGA